CCGCGGCCGGGCAGAGGGGAAGGGGAGCGATCACGTCCGGCCGTGGCGGCCGGGATGGAGCACCGCAGGATGAACCTGCCCCACGGCCCCGACAACCTCTGCTTTGACAAAGACGAGTTCATGAAGGTGCCCGGGGCTAGGGGGCAGGGCGGCGCCCGGGGACTGGCGGCGTGCGTGTGTGTGTGTACATGCGCGCCGCGTTGAACGCTGGTGGGTGTGCGGGGGGGAGGGGGGACGTGGTGCACATGAGTGCCGTCGAACGCTGGTGGGTGTGTGTTGGGGGTGTTGGTTAGGCGGTCGGTGAGGATGCGGTGCGCATGCGCGCTCTGTCGTGCCTTGGGGCTGGGGGAAGTGAGGAGAGGAGGGGCTGGGAAAAGGTCTGAGGGGGAGGGCTCCCAAGCTCCTCTGGCACTGCCCTGCCCTGCCTCAAGAGCTTTGCCCCAAGGTGGTAACAGAAGTAGGAGCTGCCAGTGAGCAGGTCAGGCCATAGATGCATCTTGCCCAGTCTCCTGCCATGCTCCTTGATTAAAAGGGGACAAATAGACCTGCTGCACCCCTTGGTGCCCTTCCTTGTGCTGAGCCTGTGACCCATGCTGCTTTCTCTGCTTTTCTTACTAGTTGTCCCAAGAATCAGACATTGCGCGCACACTGTTAACAGCGGGGCAGACTTGCATCGGGTCGGGGCAGAGAGTGGATGCTGCAAGGGAGAGTGACCCGGGTCTAAGGAGGGTTTTCCCTACTTCATCTCTTGCTTGCAGCCTCCAGGCTGGAAGGTTCCCAGACCGAGGCCATGTTCCTGACTCCTGCGCTCAGTAGCTATCGATGCCCTGTTCCTCCAAGGGAACGGGTCCGAGCGCTTTTGGGATCTGGCTGCACAGTCGGTCAGCAGCTGCTGCCTCCAGTGGCAGTGTGTTCCCAGCTGAAGCCACCCCATGTCTGAAGAAGAACTTCCATTTAAACTGAGCACCTGCCCCTTTTGTTTCGTGGCATTGAGAGATGCAGCCCCTCATAAACCCCCGTTTACTTTCTTTTCACCCTTTTGCATCTTGTAAATGCCATGTAATGAAACATGTGCCTGCTCCTGGAGGCCCCAGCCTAGGGGGACTTGCTTCTGGTTACAGGGCAAGAAGGGGGCTTGTGGAGCCCTGGCTGGGAGGGCAAGCCTGACCTCTCTCCCCTCCAGTGAACTGCATGCAGCTCAGAGGCCCTGAAGACACAGTGACCCCTGTGGCATCACTAACGCTGAAGCTGTGATAGTTCACATGCCAGATGGCAGCACTAGCAATGCTGCGAGATAACAACCCACTTGCCAGGCAGTAGGAGGCACCCAGTTCAGCTGAAAGGGTACTACATAACTCTTACCTTGGCTCAAACTCCTACCCGAAACCTGGGGAAATGATTTCTGCTTGGGTGTTCCCATGTGAATGAACTTCCCCATGCACAAGCAGTATTGCCCTATAACAGGGTTTATTGATGAGGGAGGAGGGAAATGGGGCATCACACAGATCTAGGAAACCCTTAACAATCCGTAGCCCACCTAAACCCAGTCTGAGCCATTCAGAGTTCATTGTTAGTCCCAGACAGGGTGAATGCTGTAGCCAGTAGAGCCAGTGTCACAGAACAGGCCCTTGCTAGTTCCCTCCTGGTTGGTGGATTGCGGCAGCTGTTGCTGCTCTGTAAAGCATTTTCTGGCAATCTGAAAAATGACTTTAGAAACACCTGAGAGAGAGGCACTTGATGTCCGAAAGCTTGTCCCAACTGTATGGTTGGTTCAGGAAAAAGGTATCTCAAAAGATCCTTGCTGCTTGGGGATTTCCTAGAACAGTCATGGCTACAATAACTTTGAAAACCTCAAGCAGTAGCAATACAGAGAGACTGGCACTGGGTGAGGCTCTCTTATGAAGTAATCTGCAGACTGAAAAAGCTAGAAAACTATATTACAGCGAGAACTGAGATGTAGGAAGTAAAAGAAAAAAGGCTAACCTTTAAATTAGATGGTCACAAAAGAGAATGGATGAATTTGATACTTTGTTTGTTCATGTCCAACTTGGGACTTGGGTTTACTGCCACTGGAGGTGGGTTAGGTTCATAGCAGTAGTAGCAGACTCAGTTTCCGAGGTTAGGGACTTCAGCTGTTTCTGTATCAGATTTGGGTAAAAATGTCACTGCTGCTGGAAGCTGAGTTTAAAAAGTTAGTAAATTGAGCCTCTGGCACTTTTATAAAAGTGCTTGATGATGGCTTTGCCTGTGCAAAAAATAAAATAAAATAAAATAAAATAAGCCTCCTTGTCATGGCTCAGTATTGCAGGTGGTAAAGTTCCTATTTCAATTGTAATCATCATTAGGGCTGGTAGAAAGTCACAATGTGCGTGTCCTTGGAAAGGTCAGCCTCTGTGTATCTTCTTCACTTGACCAAGGTTCATGGCTCCCAAGCTGGCTGCCTCAGTCAGGAGTCTAGAAGTCCTGTGATGGGCTTCAAGAGCAGATATCCTTCGGGCCATGGCTAGGGATCCCAGGGCTGTCAGGCTGGCCAGAAGTGCCACTGGACTGAGTCCTCTGGCATTGCAGGGTGGTGCTGGAGCCATGCTTGCTGCTGAGGAGTTGAGCAAGTGAGCTGGCAGGCAGTGCTTTGTCAGAAACCCACCTGTGGTTGTTAGGGAGATTTGTCAAAAGTAACATTTGCAAAATGTTTTGCTCTTGAGGAATCAGCATTCTCCATAGAAAATTATTTAATCAGAAAATAATTCACTCTAGTCATCAGGCAGAAAAGCACCCCTCTTGATAAATGTATATTGAATTTTTTTTCTCTTTCTTTTTTGCTCTGAGAAATGTTTTTGGCATGGTCTTATTTAGATTGAGGATATTTAGATTAGATGAGTGCCTTTATTTTATTTATATATTCTATTTTTCAATTTGGGCCTGTCACCATTGTCTAGGGCAGTGATTGTCAGCCATAGTGCTGGAGCACCCTGGAGTGTTTTGAGATCCTTTCGAGGGGTGCGTACACATGTACTAACTTTCTGACAGGTAAGTCAACTTTAAAAAAGTTAAGTTGACTTAACTGTCAGAGCGTACACATCTATGTGGAGCAGAATTGACTTAAATGCAGTGTTAGTTAAGTTAGTTGTGTTAGTAAATTGACTTGGCTCACAGGATAACTGCCACCATGTCAAGGCGCTGTACGTGTGTATAAAATCCAGTGTTCCTTTATACAAAAATCATGAAAATAGGGGGAAGTGAATGGAAATACAAGTGACATAATGCAGAAATTTAGTTAAGAAAAACTCCAGATAGTAGTTAATGTTACATTTTCTAGTAAGACTTATTGAAAAATTTAATTTCAAATTTAATTAAAATACATTGTAAACTTTTTCCCTTTGAATAACTGTTTTATAGTGTGTTACAAAGTTGTGTGCTATCATGTAAATTTCATAATACTTTAAATTGCAAATATAGTAGCTGGGATCACAGTTACACAGAACTGTTGGTGTTTAATGGCCTGATAGTGTGTCTGAAAAGGATAATCTGAGAGTGCAGTATCAGTCTTGTAAACTTTAGGTTGGGCATGGCAGCTCTCTGTTTCTAGTAGTGGTTATTGCAGGTATATAACCAACCTGTCAGCTGAATTTAGGTTCTGCTACCTGTTAGGTAAAAATCTCATCCTTTAATCCCACTTATTTGTGGACAGAGTCCCAACTGATTGCTTTTCTGGTAGTAAAGTTGGGAGGTAGTCACTCTAAAGAATCAATGCTTTGACAATTTTGTTGTTCCTATTTATTTAGAAAATGTTATTTGGATAATGGGAATGCAGTGTGAAAATGAACGTAAGATCAGATATCTTTTGCCTTGAAGAGTTGAGTTGTCTTTAGAATATATAGGCTTCTATGTCTCTCTCACTTTGTGTATTTGGCATCTTAGACATTTTCATAATTGTTCCTCTGGATAATACGGCAATCTTCAAGGGTAGTATACAGAGGTGTTTTCTTTTTTATTGGGGGGTGAGATTAAATAAACAAATTGAGCTTGATTTTGGTGTGTTTATTTTTTTTAAAACTAGTTTCAGCTGTATGTATTTCACAGATTGCATTAAATGACTAATCAGGTGCTTTTTAAACGAGATTTAAACCATTGAGAGACCCTTGATTTTTTTGTATCTTCATACCAGAACTTTGATTTGCCTTTTTTCATAAGATGCCTTACATAAAGCTAGGTTGATTCTAGTTACAGTGGCTTGGCAGATCTCCAAAGGAAATGCAAGAAACATCTATCTCTTGCCTTGGGGTCAGTTCTGAACAAATGTTCCAATATGGTACTAGGAAGCATTCTTCCGTTGGGATGGCTTTTTTCTAGATGTGATATAAAACTAAGTACTTGATCATTTGTGATCAATGTTTCCTAGGACAGCTTTCTGCTGGTATGCTAATCTTGGTTTCTGGCTAAATGCTCATTTGGGTAAATGTTTGTCCTATTTCAATGCCTGTGTAGTTATAAATGAAACTTATCCAGTAGCTTTTCTGGTACTATTACGTTTTGATTGCATTACCTCCAAAACATAGATCTGATTTTTTTTTTTTTCCATCTGGTTTGGTATTCTCCTGGAGATGTGTAGAACCAAAAATACTGCACTCACACATGCTTTAGAACTCTCTAATTCTATGTCTGTATCCTCATGAATTGTATATAAAAGCTGATTGCTACTGTTCATGTACATCAAAGTAATACACACTGCTATTTCCTTATAGAAAACAAGTTTTGTTGATAGGATATAGAAATGAGAAAAGCGATTTGTCTGGGACAAGTTTTGCATTCTACTCAAAGTAGACCCAAAGCTTTAACTGAGGTGCTATCTATTGTCTTGCTGGCTCGACCAAATTTACCTAATTTTTTCAATAAGTATAGTTTCCAGTTCAATGAGAAGGAAGCTGGATTGCGTTAACATTCTCCAGGGGGTTTTAAATGGTCTATCTCTTTCTTAAATGTGCACTGTAGTATACACCAAAAATATGGTATTATTTTAATATTTTTTGGTGCCTTTAAATTGTTTCCAGTGAAAGGTCATTAGATAACAAAAATAGAAACTTTGGCTACATTGACTTTTGCTGCCGGTTGTGCTCTGTCCTCATCCAAGCACAATGTCTCCAAAAGTTGAATGTGCATTCAAAAAAATGTAATGCTTATTAAAGTAATAAAATCTCTTTCCTAGGCATTTTCTAGACAGGGTTTGAATATCTGTGTTTTTTGCCTTTGTTAAATATGTACTCCTAGCAACAGCAAAGTTGTCTCTGCTAAAGAATAGGCTAGAATTTTAATTAGAAATGAAAGCTTGGGGGGGGGGGGAGTTATGGTTTGTTTCTCAGTGGGTAGTTTTTGGCAGAATCCTGCTCAAGCTCTCCTCTATGTCAAACTCATGAGGTAGATTCGAATCCGGTCTGTGTAAATCGTATTCACTTATTATCTTATGCAGTCTGGTTATAAGTTTTCAAAGAAAACTAGAAACCCATTTCTAATAAGATCTGTCAACAACTCCCAAATGCTTACCTGTGCTACAGATGCTGCTAAGTCAGGCTGTCTACTAGGACACTGTTATTCCATGACCTTTTATAACAGTGGTGGGCAAAATACGGCCCGCGAGCCAAATCCAGCCCGCCAAGGGTTTTTATCCAGCCCGCGGTGAGTCCCTTGGTCCCACCACCCCTAGGCATGCAGTGGGGCTGAGATGGTGGGACACCTGGACTTGCTTCCCAACAGTGGCAGTGGCTCCATCTGGCTGCCACCACCAGACTTGGCCCCGCTGCCCAGGCACCCCACATCCACCACCAGGGTGGGAGCTGCATAGGCAGGGCGTGTGGCTGGGCAGATGGGATGGGGTCGTGGGCAAGCAGGGAGCAGCATCTGGGAGTGGGGCAGGTAGGAGGGGCCAGGATGATGGGGCGGTGACAGCACAGGGCCAGGGCACAGCTGCAATCTGCTGGCCATGTGTCCCCGCAATGGACGCCGGTTCTGTGGGCAGTGGCATGTAGGGAGCAGATTGTGGCTCTGCTCTGGGCCCTGGCCACATGCTGTCCCTGCCTCAAGATCCTATCCCCACCCACCTATCCCCCTCCTGGACACGGCTCCCTGCCCATCCATGGCCCTATCCCATCACCCTGGCCACATGCCCTGCACACATAGGTCCCAAGATTGTCAGGCAGCGATGTTATGGGGGTTGGGGCCCAGGGCAGAGCCTCAGTCCACTCCCTGCACACCCCTGCTGCAGAGCTGGCACCTGTTGCAGAGACATGTAGGGGGCAGATCATGGCTTGGTCCCAGCCCTGCGTTGTCACAGCCCTGCGATCCCAGCCCCATCCCCTTCTGCCCATTCTGCTCCTGGATGCCACTCTCCATACACCTGCAGCCCTGTCCCAGCCATCTGCTTCAGGGCAGAGCAGAACCACTTTGGGAATTTCGGTGAGCTGTCACACAGGCTGGGTCAGCTCCTTCACCCCCTCAAACAACTCACCAAAGTTCCCTAAGTGGCTCTCAGGCCCAAATAATTGCTCGCCCTTTTGTTATAATGTTCTTCCAAATCCCCAAATCCCTCATTTGAAAAGTCTTTATATTAGCTGAACAGTAACAATATTTTCACAAAATAGCTACATCTTTGCATCTGGGAGAATCCTTACCACTTTCAGTACTCACTAAAACCTTACAGCAGACTCTCTGCGCCTTCCAGGAAGGGGCTTGTACTTCTGTTTTAAACTCAACCAAAAAAGCTTTATTATAGGAAGCGGGCTTTTTTCTTTAGTCTAGACTATTTATTAACATCCCTGTACCTTGTTACCTATTTCCTTTTCAGCCAGACTTCGACGTCGATCGCTTTGTGTCCGACTGCAGGAAACGTGTCCAGCTGGAAGAGCTCAGAGATGACCTGGAACTCTATTATAAACTCCTAAAAACTGCTATGGTAGAGCTCATAAACAAGGACTATGCAGACTTTGTTAATCTTTCAACAAATCTGGTAGGTTTTCAAATTGGGTTATGTACTTTTGTGTTCCGCTTTTCAACGTGATCTTAATCATGCCTCCACATAGCCCAAGAAAAGAAGGCATTCACTTATAGGTAAAGAACCCTTAACTTGTTGAACCTCAAATTACGAGATACTAGAAAGTATTTATTTTCTTTATAGAAACTATAAAAGGTATATCCTGTAGATATAGCTACTACACATCTGTAGCAAGATGCAAAACAACAACCCTGGTTTATTCTTAAAAGATATGTTCATATGAAGGTAATGAATTTTCCCAAATACTTGATGTGAAGAGCAAGTACATAGAACACTTCTGGAATAAAGTATTTACCTCGAGTGGTAAAGGTCTGAAATTCCACTATGAATGCTTATAAGCACGCAGACTGTGTAATAACTTAATTCAGTTAACAAATCACCACAGATTGTTGTCAAAAGAAAATGTCTTCTCTGCTACATCTTCTATTCTTTTTGCCTTCCATACTGGTGATTAACAAATAAATTGCCCTTAAGTGTAATTTATTACATTTTGTTTGTTCTTATGTTTATGGTATAAAACAGAATACAACATACAAATGCACAATGTTCATAGATCCTTATTTTTCTTAATTTTTCTGTGCTTTTTGTCACCAATAGTCTCATTGATCTTTTTGGATGCCTCCATTATAGCAGGGTTGTCAAACATATGGAAACAGTCTATCCAGAGCTGGAAACTAGAGTCATGACTGGGGAGCTGGCTTGCTGCAGAATCTGGGGCCCTTGGATGTGGTGATTGGCAACAGGAGGACAAACAAGGGCTGATGCCACCCTATTTGTCTTTCAGCCACTTTGCCTGTTGACACCACTTTGGCCTTATCTCCTTGGTTGCTGGCCATGCTGTCACCCTGTGCTGGAGTTGCCACCACCAGTGCATGCCCCATGCCAAAGCTAGAGCTGCAGCTATCGCTGTGCGCCCTGGGCCAGAGCCACCCCATGTCCTGGGCTGGATGCAGGCTATGAGGAGCCCTGTTGGTTCAGATCCAGCCCAGGGCATGAGGTGAGTTTGACACCCCTGTATTACAGTAACAGACAATCATATTAGCATATCATCATTTCAAATGAATTAAGATAAGATGACTTTTTTGTGAGGATAGTATGTATTTAATTTCCGACATGCTTATAGTTCAGTGCTGTACTAGTGGATTGTATAAAAAAAAAAAAAATGCGTTAACTGAAATAATTTGGAAGTCATTTGATTATAGTAATGCATGTTTTGGTAACTTCTTTAGGTGGGCATGGATAAAGCCCTTAACCAGCTTTCAGTGCCATTGGGACAGTTACGAGAAGAGGTCATGGTATGTTCATACCAATTGTTATGTTAAAATAGTTTGGTAAACTTAAATGCTTTATCTTATGAATATTAATTGTTTTTTTAAATTACCCAGATTTATAATTCATTAGTGGAGGTTTCAGACTGAAAACTAAAACTGAGCTATCTTTTCACATTTACCTTTTTGGACAATGCAGCATGATGTAAGGAGCCTAGTATCAAGTAGTAGTCTTGCATTTTTTAGTACTTTTTTTTGAAAGACCTAAAGTGTGTGTTAAAGAGCAGCCACATTCTGTGGTGAGATACTAACATTATATTTTACAGGGGAAAAGGCACAAAGTGATTTACAGATCTGTATAGCAGAACAATCAATAAAAAACACCTTTCCCTGCTCCTCCCCCTCCTTGTCCTTTGATTTAATCACAGGCAACTTTCTTCCCTTTTCAAAGTAATCAAATATGACTCTAATTTAGTATCTAGAGTATATTAGCAAAATTTTTCTTTGCAGCTGATCCAAAAGGATTTGTTTGGGGGGGAAAAAATCTTCAAACCATTTACTTTTTCAGGTGAAAACTGCTTGCATGCTAGTATCTCATCAGTCTCTTAGATAGACAGCATTGTGTAAACCCACATGTTACTTTCAGTGTCAAGAAACCAAATTGCATTGAGGGTGCTTGTATAAGGCTTGGAAATTTAATATGTACACCATATTGCCTTTAAAAATGTATTGGTTAAGTGGATGTGGTTTGGCTAAAAACTTGTTACCCATTGGTTGTAACAGGTAGCATAAGGGAGAATTTTCAGTTATATTTATCTTATTTTTCATTTGGGGTTTTTTTTTGGGGGGGGTGTGGATTTTTGTTGTTGTTTTGCATTTGTGAGCAGTTTGTACACTATATTTTAATTTTCCATTTATGTCAATAATTAGCTTTTGCTGTTGTTTAGGTCTTTCATGCTGTAGTGGAAACATTTTTTAAAAATTGGAAAATGGTTATAAATCCACAGATATTGATAGTGCTCATCAGGCAGACAGTATTGTCTCTTAGTTGACTAGATTTTAAGTTGGTGTCATTTAAGATTTGTTTCTTCACTTCCTGAAGTCAGACTTTCAAATTCACTTGTTTGTTTTAGAGTCTTAGATCATGTGTCAGTGAAGGAATTCGAGCAGTAGACGAGCATATGTCTAAACAAGAGGACATTAGAAGAAAAAAGGTACAACAGACCTTGACTAGAGAAGACCTCACTTAGAATAATTCTGTGTGTTTTTTCCCACTAACTGGAAAATTCAAGACATTTTCTTAAAACAAGAAATTCATAGGGGGAACTGAATGTTTGTATTCCACTATGTATAGGCTTCATATATTTCATACCTTATTTGGAGGCCCCTACAATCATAAGATAGGGTATAAGTGCACTGCTAGATTGAGTAGAAGTCCAGAATTTCCTTTTTAAGTCAGACCATTCATGTTAACATCTTTACTTTTTATTTTTAAATGATTGCATTACTTTTCTTCATTCTTTTAATTTTGTACTGGTGTGTAGATTTCTACATAACAAAATTAACTGAAGTTTAACAGACATGCAGGGGGAGAGCTTTTAAAATGTTGATATCAAGAAATAACATGACAGATCCTGTGGGCTTTGGGTCAAGAACACTTATTTGGAAATGCATTAAAATATTTGTATTGATACGTATCGTGATAGGCATAATAGAAGAGCTAAAGTATTAAACCAACCGAGTTTCCTAATATGATAAAGACTTCCAATAAAAAATGTAAAGAATTCCCCACAAAACATTTTCAGACTTGTTAATTAGGAAATGGTGAATGAGATTAAACACAATGCTAAATATTACTTTTCTTTTTTTTTAAACAGATGTGTGTCTTGAGACTTATCCATGTTATTCAGTCAGTTGAGAAGATTGAGAAGATTCTGCATTCCCAAAATTCAAAAGAATTGTCTTCACTAGAGGCAAACAGGTAAGGGATGTATAAATATGCTTGAGGTTTATTCCTAATCAACTAGTCCAGCTTCTGTTTCATTATATTATAGTGTACTGGAATTTCTGAACACCAGTGCATATCTTTGCAGTTTTGAACATTGGGGCAGAATAAACATCAGGACTGTACTTTGCTGTGGTTGTCAGTTTTATTCTTCTGCAAAGTGACAGTTAGCTAAATATGGAACTCAGAGGTTTCAATGCCTCCTACTTTTTGATGGCATTTTCAGTAAAAGTGGATGCACCTTCCCAAAATGTCCTGTTTCATTTTGAACCTGTTTGTAAAAAATGTCTAACGCCTTCCTTACAAAATCCTGTAAATGTGCCACAAGCTCCAATACAGTTTGGGAGTAAAAACATGGAATAACTTTTCCTGTTTTCCTCACTTTCACGTAACTTGAAGGCAGGCTGGGGCATCTGAAGATTGACTTCATAACATCTATGGGAGAGGGAAACTTTTCATGAGAAATGAGACTGGTGCCTAGACTGCTCTAACAACTTCAGGGACCCAAGTTACCCTCCCCCCTTCCCCCTCAATCTTTATTTGGGGATGGAGGGCTTCTCTTTTCAGCTGTCTTACAGCTGAAGTGCCAGCCTTCTGCCTCTCACAACCCACCCTTCTGCTGTTGTTGGTAAGCAGAGAAAATGCAGGTTTCATGAACCTTTTGGTGCAGGAGACTTATTTTGCTAATCTTCAGTTTTGTGGAAGGGAGTCTAACTGAGGACAGGCAACCAGGCTGGCAGGGATGGACCATGAGGGGAAAATGGATGTAAGAAGGCCATGTACATTCCATTTATCTTCCACACACAGGGGGATGCAGTAGAAACTTGAGTTCAAGAGTGGAGTAGCAATTGAATGGTAAGAAACTGAGGAGGTTAGTGGGGCTATGCTGGGGTCAGGAAGGAACAATTATGTCCCCAGAGATTGCCATTTTTAATGTTCCTGTGCTTCAGGTGTATGAAGGAATAAGCATTCTTCACCAGCCAGGCTCACTCTTTGCCAGAGATGCTGAGCTCTGTAAAACTGGCTTTCCCCTTGACCAGCGGAAACATCAATACAAGGAACACTGCTGCATGCTGTTGAGGCAGAATCTTGTGACAGCTGCTGCTTCCCTTTTTATCTTTGTCGTACTGTTATGGAAGACACACCATACTTGGTCCCTGAACCTCATACCTTGCCCCTTGAACACAAGACATTATTGGTGCATAGTTATAAACAATACATCTCTTATTTTTAGCATTATGATTTTTATTATAGATGGATAGAGACATTTTAGGAGGCAGACCATTATATGTCTGTCTGTTAGGTGGAAGTGAACTTATTTGGGGAGACCTTCCTGCATGTTAAACTAGTGGTTGTTATTTTTGCATATGTCAATTCTTTTCCAGCCCCCTTCTGACTGGACAGGTTTTAGAGAGAATTGCCACAGAATTTAACCAGTTACAGTTCCATGCAGTACAAAGCAAAGGAATGCCCCTTTTGGACAAAGTGAGACCAGTAAGTAACCTTCAAAAATTGAACCCAATAAATAGTGTACAGAAGTATCGGCATGTCTCCCTCTACCTATTGCAAACAGGTCTGCCAGTCTAACTGTTGTTTTAATGAGTGTTTAGGAGGGAAATGTTTGACCAATTTTAAGGCTGTTTTTCTAGTACTTTTTCTGTGAGCATTCATGATTTTATTTTCCAACACTTAAAGAAGAGTTCAGAATAAGAGTAGAAAATGAAAGTTAAAATGTCAGCATATCATCCTACTGTCTTTGAAGTCTACACAATAACAAGGCCTAGATTTAGAGGCTGGAATTGCTTGTACTTCGTTTGCTTATCTTGTAGACTGAAGCATAAATTATGGTGTGCCCAGTCTACTCAGTTAATGTACCTTAATGTCCTAAACTAGCTGTGGATCATGGACTGCAGGTAATAGTTTTTGATTCTTAGGTGGTTCGTAAGGCCACCACTTGTAGCTGGTGATGTGCAGTTCAGTTACCAGCCGAGAGTAATGCTCCCACTTTTCTGCCTGGATCAGAGTGGTATTTCTAGGGGAAAAAGGGTAGGAAGTAGCTTGATTTGACTTACTTCTCTAGTGTAGGTGAAATCCTAAACCATTTACTAGATAGACTTCTCATTACATGGAAGCAATTTTCTTTCTGTAATGTAACTTTGTTAAATGTAGCTACTTTATGATATGGCGCTAAATATGCAGCAATAACTGATAAATATAAGTTATAAGGTTTTAATTGGATTTTATGCTAAATTGATATCGACTGTTATCACAACTTTTACTGTTCAATTTTCAATTTAGAATTGAACGCTAAGGTTGAAACATCTTTGCAAATAGCTCCTATTAGTAGGATGGCGTTTATGTTTGTACTGTCTCTTCTTTTTTATAGCGTATAGCTGGAATAACAGCCATGTTGCAGCAGTCTTTGGAAGGGTTGCTCTTAGAAGGCCTTCAGACTTCAAATGTCGACATAATACGACATTGCTTACGGACATATGCAACAATTGACAAAACACGAGATGCAGAGGCTTTAGTTGGTCAGGTGCTTGTAAAACCGTATGTAGATGAGGTAAGGTAAGAGGCAAATGCTTGGGGAAAATTCTTTGTAAACATGCCTACCTTTTCTGTTCATATAGCATTTAGCACCTTAATACCTTTTTGGGTAGTGGTCTCAATACTTCCTATGTAGTTATGCTGTTTCTATTCCCACCTCCATAGAGGGAATAAATAATTAACATCTCATCTTCCATAATAGTATTCCCTCCTGTATAAGTTTTTAACTTACCTTAAAATATAGTTGACACTGGCAGTGGTGAAAATCAAAAAGCCGAAGCCATACAAAATATAATGACTATATAAACTTCAACAAGTGTAATTAAGTAAACCAAACCTTTCAATTACAAAATACTTGTTAAAGAAGCAAAAAATCTTATTTCAGATTGATTAGCTTATCTAGAAATATTGGGCCGAAAGAGAATGTGTTGTGAGGAAAAATAAACAACCTCTGACCTCATCAGTGCTGCCAGGTTTACCGAATCTTTCCATCATTGCACCCACTGGTGTAGGAACCAGCTGCAAGGGTTTTTTCTACAGCAGCATCAAGACCTGCTCTGGTTACGGTTTGGCAACATGATGGTTGAAATTGTGGGTGGCTAGTATCCCTGATATTCCTGTGGCAGCTAGCACTAATTCTAATTGAACAGTGAGAGATTTCCCTAAAATTATTGTTGTAGAACAAAACCTGCCTAGATGAGGTTTTAGTCTTAAGCGTAGAGAGAATCTTATTAGATCTCTCAATTCTGGGCACTTTTTTCCCATGCTTTCCCCAAACCATCCCAACAGTGAAAGTGAACTAGCAATAGCAGTAGATGATGGTTGTAGATTAAACAACAGCTTGTCACTAACACTTTCATCACTTGCTCTAAGTTAGTTGTTACTACAGGTTCAACTTGAAGGCTGCATAAATTATTTTTACAAAAATGGCTATAGTAAGTCAGGCTTCAGGCTCTTTCTAGGATTTCATGTTAAGGTGCTAAAACCTGTCATTGGTGTGTCAGTTAGTAGGTCATTGCATGCTGAAATGGCCACACAAAACAATTGTGTAATAATTTTAATTAGTCTCTTGAGTGGCATTGGCTCATTATTAATGAGCCTTTTGTAACTATTAGTGTAGATCAAGTGGTGAAAGTATGTAAGGGTATTCATTTTTTTAAGTTAGAAATTCTGACCACATATAGATAACATTACAGTAGCATTTTGAAGGATATCTGCTCCTTGCTGGGATCTAAATAAACATCCCTTTTAGAATATCTTCTGCAAGGATGTTATCTAATTTATTTTACTCCAGGTGGTCGTCTTGTTGTTGTTTCACTGAATTATAAATCGGAATTATTCATAGAAGGTAAATTCACTCTCCTCTTAAAACAAATGCATCGCATTAGGCTATCAGCTAAAGGCTGTAACATTTCTTTCCTAAAATTAGTATCTTAAAACTTTCAACAATATATTTCTGAAAGACATGACCCATTCATACAATGTCTGTACTGGGAGGGGAAAATATGTATAATACCTATGTCGTTGCCTTGGTGATGACATACATAACTTTTTCTACTAAAGAGCAAAATGTTTGTAAAATGTATGCCCCAAAGTGCAAAAGAGTAGCAATGTTTTCTTCCTCTCATGTTTTCAGTATTGCATAATTTTCATCCTCATTTCATGGCTTTGGGTTACAGGTTGCTTTAATCGCTTATTTTCAGTGTCCTTTACCTTTGAGACTTTCTATTATGGCCACTGCTCTTTGAGTTTAGAGGGATTTAATCAAGCTCTTGTACTCTGTCCCTCAGAGGCAATGTAATCAAGCAGTGGGTGGTACTGCATCTTCTTTCCCTACTCTCAGAAGTAAGCTGTTTTTCTAACTATACCACATTTGTTGTGCTGCTATCTTGCAAAAGATGGCAAACATTTTAAAGTAGAGAATCAATAGCATCTTTATCAGAACCAGTGCAAGTAGCAAAGGGATTTTGTTTCTTAAATGCTTGAGCACATTCTCATGTTTTGACCTCTGTTCCTCAGTCTCTAGTCTTTCTCAGCTTGGCCTGCATGCTTGAACACATAGGTTGAAGTGACCATAAACCTGCTGCAGGTGGTCTCATTGCAAAACCCCTTTAGCTACTGGTTGCCATATCTGCAGTTCCCATTAGTCTTAGGCTGGCTGATCTGTACATTAATTGCAAGAGGTGATCTGACTCTGTTGCACCTACTACCATTTCTTCCTTGAGTAATGAGAGAGATCTGTATCTAGAAGCTTGATAACCGGCCTCATTTTCACCTTATGCTCTTACTGTGAAGCATTGACCGCCTTTACTTGTATCAGGTGATCCGTGGCCCCTATCACTAGTGTTAACAGTTTCTTTTCTGCTCAGAGAAGGAAAAAAACAGTAGTTGTTTTGGATCCCAATCCTGTGATAAGATTTACAGGTGCTATGTAATACAAATAGTAATTCACTTAAATAAAATACCTAAGCATAAAGAGCTCACTGTATCTTATGTTTTAGTATTCACAGATTGTCTAGTAATTTACCAGAACTAGATTAAAGGTTCATTTTGAAAACTGAATGTAGCAAACACTTTTAAAGGGACTGTGGACCTGATGCATTGTCCATTAAAATCAGAAAGTTTTCAGGTGACTACTGTGGATTTTTGATTAGGCTGGGTGTAGGTTTTGGAAAGATTTTTTTTTTTTCTTCACAAACTTAAAATTGTTAAAGCAACTTTCATGGTTGTTACTTTTCCCCTTGGAAATTAAAGCAAACAAATTAACAAATAAAAAACCCCCACACACATTTTCCTGTAGCATTTAAAATGCAGTCATCAGTATATGGCAATCTTGAAAATCCCAAGTGGCTGGAGATGGACTGTTTAACAGTTAATTTAGTTTAAGAAGAACATAACTGCCATTTACTAGGTCAGACTGTATGTCCATCTAGCCCAGCATCCTGTGCCATGTGGCAGAGAGTGGATGCTGAAAGGGAGAGTGAACAGGGTATGACCAGAGGATTTTTTCCCCCTCTTTCTTCTCCCTCTTGGAGCCTCCAGCATTTAAGATCTAGGAAGTTCTGAGTCAGAGGCTATATCCGTAACTCCCCCTCAGTAGCTACTGGTGCCCTTTCTTCCTCCAAAAATTCTTTCAATCTGTTTTGGAATCCGGGTAAAATGTCAGTTTCTACAACATCTTGTGGCAATGAGTTCCACCTTTTAATTGCATGCTGTGTGAAAAAGAACTTATTTTTGTTAGTTTGAAACTTACTACCCACTATTTTCATTTCTTGACACACAGTTCATGTATTTTGAGAGAGTTAAATAAATAATCCCACTCTACACTTATATACATTGAATTTGATCTGACATTGGGTTGGCCTGTTGCTCAATAGTGCCAGATCCTTCAGTAGTTCTTTGTACTTTGCCTTGATCTTGACCTATTTGAATAATTATGGCTACCTGACAACTTGCCTCCTTTTCCAGATCATTTATGAATAGTTTAGTACAGGACTGTCCACCTTGTCAGCAGCTGGGGCTCTGCCCATCCAGCAGCCAGTCAGCCACACCAGCAGCAACTGCACGCCACTAGTGACACTAGTGACAGTGCGCCACTAGTGACAGCAGTGGGGGCCACAGGCCCCCAGGCTGCACACCATATGTGCATGAGAGCACTCCTCTCCTTCCTCCCCCTTTTTGTACCACTCGTATGTGCACTGTTGCACCAAAAGGGTGAGTGTCCCACCCTCTGCTGCACCATTCACAGAGCCCCATCTCACCTTCAGCAGCTTGTCTTCAAGCTCCCCTGCTGTACTGTGCCTCCTGAGCACTCTGGGATGCTGGCTCCATCAGTACTGTGGGAGCACCATGATGGCCCACCTTGCCTTCTGGGGTAGGGGACATGTAATAGAAGCTGGAGGAGGGAGTGGGGGAGCCTTGAGACTTAGTAATAAAACAGGAGTGGATAGATTTCACATGACTGAAATGCAGGAACTGCCACTATTTTGCCAGCTGCTTGGTCTAGTTCAGTCTTGCGTTGTTATTAGCATATTGTATTTAAGTGTTTCAATAAACTCTTATTAGAAGAATAACGAGCCGCTGGAATTGCAAGAGGAGTGCTGCATAAGATAAAGAAAATATATAGCTCAAAATGACAAGTAACATTAAAAACTGGTTTTAGGTTAGACTTAGAAGAGAAGTCTGGTATATAAACATTATCCTGTATGTTACAATACTCTGTAGTAGCTGTAATATTTATTGACTGTAAGGCGTGTTATTTTACATCAGTTTACTTTTCTTCATGTTCGCCTTTCTGATATTTCATGCTAAATGCTTCCTGGCAGGTGATCGTGGAACAGTATGTTCAATCTCATCCTAATGGCCTTCAGACCATGTACAATAAGCTGCTGGAGTTTGTTCCTCATCATTGCCGTCTCCTGCGTGAAGTAACAGGGGGAGCTATTTCAAGGTAACAACCTTTCAGCTATTGTCCTCAAAGCTGTTTTGATTATTGGACACTCCTGCAGTGGTTTGCATGACTTAACTATAGCACACAAAGGATTTTCCCTAAAGATGAAAATCAGTGCAGTTTCTCTTTTATATGTGCACATGGAAAAAACATAAAGGCTGTGAACAAGTTGTTCTGGCCCTGTAGTGAAGCAAGAAGGAAGAGAAACCATGTGCCTGGAATAATGAAGCAGAGTACCAAGTACTGTTCACAGTATAATGTGCCACTTATCTTTGAAATAAAGGAACTTGTTTGTGTCCTTCATTCAAAGAAGGCACAGGGCAGTTGCTGGAGATTGCAAATTTCAAGTTATTGTATTGTCCCCCCACCCCAGGTACCTCTCTTTGCTGTCTTCTCAAACGCACTTAATTCCTGTTGCAATTAAATTGCCTGTTTTGCCCATTATTTTAGTTTACTAAATTGTATCCATTTATTAAGCTGTTCACAGGTTGGCTAACTCAGTAGACTGTTGCAGTTAGTGAATGTTTAGGATTTAGCCTCTAGAGACTACAGAACTGCTTTTCTAATTAGCCACATCCATTGCTGTGCTTTTTACGTCTTCACACATTTTACTAACATTTCAATTGGGTTAATCCCTCAGCAGGTTTTAATCCTTCTTGTTAAATACTAAAAACATTCTGTTATCATTCTACTTTAGTAAATCAGAGCAATAGATGCTCATGTTCTTCCTGTTCTCAATGTCTGATCCAAACTCTAGGTAACTTTTTAATCTTAATAAAAATGCTGCATATAGAAGTCTGACTCAGAAGAATTCCAAAGAGGAGTTCCTTTTACTTGCCGCCACCATCCCATTTCTGGCGTTTTAGACTACGATTTATTATTTTTTTTAGCTGAGAGAAGTACTTGTTTTCCAGAATTACTAAAAATGTACATTAGTCTTGGTTGATTTTCTAGAATGTATATTAAATTGGAACTGATCGGCTCCTTTGAATAGGAGTGGTGTGAGGATAGGCAGACATGAAAAATTGTAAAGGAAAGAACTATTTTTAGTTGAGTGGACATACTTATGTAAATATTTGTTTAATCCAAAACCACTGTACACAACACAGAGTTTGGTTTTTTTACTATTATTACCGTCAAGCTTGCACTTGCTAGGGAAACATACCTTTGCAAAAATCTTTGGAATAATTGAAACTTTTATTGCAGTGAAAAAGCAAATACTGTTCCCGGATATGACTTTTTAGTGAATTCAGTGTGGCCGGAAATAGTACGTGGTTTAGAAGAAAAGTTGCCAACGCTTTTTAACCCTGGAAATCCAGAAGTGTTTCATGAGGTATTTAAATTTAAATGATTTCAGCGGGAAGCCTTTGATACAAGGAAGAATTGACTGAGTCATGGTTCCTAGCTTGGGTTTTCTGAATCTTATTGTGAAGATCCTTATTGCTTCATGACATGCTGTTTTAGAGATCATTTCATGAACTTTCATGGGAACAGATTTTACTTTCAAATACATGGGCAGGGAACATACAAATAGAGGTGCACCAATATGTCAGTCCAGATTAGATTGGCACTGATAAAAGGAAAATTGACATGATCTGCAATCAGCTTTTTTGACCAGTGTAGCTGATGATCTGCCCCGCATGCACGTGGTATTTATCAGTGACGTTAAGGCACCCACAGTGAGGGAGGGAGTGGGGCGGGGCAGGCATTGCTGGGGTGAGGCGCAAGACGGAGCTGGGGGGGAGGGGGGTTCACTGCAAGCACCCCTGGGGGAGGCATGGGGGGCATGTGCCGCTGCCCCCCGCCCCCTCCCCCCCCTGACTTATGCATGGGGCGAGGGCAGGCTGCTCTCTCTGGGCTTGGGGCTGCACTGGCCTCTTCCGGTCAGGGGGGCTGGGCTGGGGTGGGGCACGTGGCGCTGGTGGTTGGGCTACAGGGTAGGCTACAGCCACCCAAAAACTCGCTGTAGCCCCTCCTCCCAGTACCACCACCCACCCTGCCCCCACCCACCTTGAGCACATCCCTGGCCCAGCCCCCACATAGGGAAGAAGCTAGCGCAGCCTCTGGCCCTGAGCCCGCAGTGGGCAGCCTGCCCTTGCCCCCCCTGCCCTGGGGGTGTGTGGAGCAGTGGGAAGCCATTCCCCTTCTCCGCCGCCCACAACTCTGTCCCACGCCATGCCCGGGCTGGGCAGCACCTGCCCTGGCCCCATTCCTTCCCTCACTGTGGGGGGCCTCGATCTGCACACACCACCCATGACCCTTCCCCCCCCACCCCGCCCCAAACTTAACGGCCAGATGCTGCTGTTGGCCTACATACTGGCTATCAGACTGGTATTGGCCGACATGGCTGCTTAACAATCAGCCATCGGTATCGGCCAACAGAATCTTAATCGGTGCACCCCTACATACAAATATTAGTGAGAGATGTGCAGTCTTGGGAATTTGGCCTTACCATTCAATTTTGCAGTAGATGTTTTTGTGCTAAAGAAGTAATGCACAAAAGTGAAAGGGGTAAAAAGAGACCCAATGTTTGTCTAAGGCTGCAACTGCCATAAAAGGGCATCTATTATATTTGTTAAACTTCTGGGAAGTAATTTGTGGTATTCAAAATGACATGCCCTGTGCTGTAGAAGGTAAAAAGCATCCTTTGGTGTCTGGTGTCCCATCCTACTCTTTTAACCTTTACGTCTTATTGTTTCCACAGACAATGCTGTGACTTAATTTTAGCAACTTTTGCATCTTCTCTGTTTGAGGAAATTTATAGATGAACTGGGGCTTGGGGGGAGAGAAATGGCAGCTTGAAAGAGTGCTTCTTTTCTATAAATGTTTATTAAAAAAGTGTTTATTAAAAATGAATACTCAAGAGTATGGAAGAACCTGTTGCACTGTAATATTTTCTTCACTGTGAGCAATGCTGCTGTGTGCGTCTGGGAGATGACATTTTACTGACACTTGCCAACAGAAAACTTTTTGTCTGATGTAAAGTAGGGTGCTGAGAATGCAATTGGTCACTTAAGTCCATGATAGAGTAGGAGAGAGAAGCTTTCTGCTGTGTCATGTCAGATGGTGAGCTCTCTTTATCCTGATCTAAACACAGTTATCAAAATTATCTTTTTCTTCCTTTGGATTTTAGTTTTCTTTCTTAGAGCGCGCTTAATCCAGGGATAAATCTGCCCCACCCCTCCCCACCTCACCTCAAATTAGTTTTGTTTATAAGGGATTTTATTAATACTATCAAGATGTTGGTGAGAATAACAAATTATCCTAGAGGGGCAGGAAAAGCATACAGGATAGGTCAGACTGTTTAAGAAAATGCTGAATGCTTTGCCCATATAATGATGTGGCACAGGTGTTCTTCCTGCTTTTGTGCAAAATTATCCATAATAAAAATAGATTAGTTTCCCTTAGAATTCATGCACATAGATGTTAAGTATGAGAATAACTGCATTATTTAAGTTAAGCATGAGCACAAGGGTTTCTGGTTTGGGATTTAATGAGGAACAAGTATCATAAGAAAGTTAAAGAAGAAAGGCCCCTCTTTTTTCCCCACATAAGCAGAGGTGTGCACATTTGTTTCTAATGAGAATGTACTTTAATTTTCCGTAAGACATCATTTACTTTTCAAATGTTCCATTAAAATATCCTGTGTGACAAATCATAAGTTCCCTTGTGCTTTTGTTCTGCATGCTGCTTGGTTTTAATTGGAATGTCTTATATCGTTAATGAAAGGGGTGACATCATGTTTAAATGAATAATTTTTTGTGATTGTCTTTTTATATTAAGATAATATTGACCCGTCATTTAGTTGAAAATAATTTTACTTTAATTTATATCATGCATCCATTCTAGAGTTACTCCAAGGCTAATTGTTGAGAACCTAGCAATTGGAATTGGCATCATTTAACATACTGTTATCTAAAACCCAGAACTTTAAATTTCAAATTTCAAGATGCTGTTATGTCTGTGTTCATTAAAAATCAAAGAGAATTCTTTCTGTGACATTAAAACGTCCCATTTAATGCTTTTAAATCATTCTCTATATTTTTTCCTAATTCAGATATTGCAACTCTAAGAATCTCAGCATGAAATGGTTCTCACTGGCAAGTAAGGACATAACAAGAATTGCTATTTACTGGGTCAGACAATAGGTCCATCTTGCCCAGTCTCTTGTGTCACACAGTGGCAGAGTAGATGCTGCAAAGGGAGAGTGAACTGGGTATGACCATGGGGTTTTTTTTCCCATTGTTCCTCTTTCATTTGCAGCCTCCAGCATTTAAGGTCTTGCAGGTTCTGATTGAGAGGCTGTATTCCTAACTCCCCTGCTCACTAGTTATTGATGCCCCTTTCCTCCAAAAATTTGTCCAGTCCTTTTTTGAATCTGGCTAAACTGTCAGCTTCCACAACATCTGGTGACAATGAGTTCCACACTTTACTTATAAGCTGTGTGAAAAAGAACTTCCTTTTATTAGTTTTAAACTTGCTAGATCCATTTTGTGACCCTTAGTTCTTGTACTGGGAGAGAGAGTAAATAATAAATCCCTATTTACTTTCTCTTCTCGGTTTAGTATTTTATAAACAAGTGTGTGAAAAATTGAGAGCCAGAAAATAACAAAGTTATCTTTTCTGGCTTGAAGGTTTTGGGTTTGTAAACAGAACATAAACATAAGGGGGTGGAAAAACCCTTGGAAAGTATTCTTAATTGCAACTGTCTCTTGAACAAGTGTAGTACAGGAACCTATTTTTAAATTGACTACAGCTTCAGCACCTCTGGCCTTGGTTGAGTTCAGCAAGATTTGTGGATGCTCACACTTCAGAAATTAAGGGCACTTACATTTGAGTGCCTAATTGCAGTTTTAGGAATCTAATTCTAGAGCCCCTTGCTTTAATATTTTGGTGGTAGTTTCAAAGATACTGTCTCCATTAAGCTCTTTGTCCGTGGTTAGCAAACACATTATTAAGTAGTGAAAATGGACTTGGAACTTTGAGTCCTCTGTTATGCTAGACAGTGTCATTATTAAAAAAAACTAGATGAGTGCTTCTGTGCTTTTTCCTGTTGTACAACTGGAATAAGGGACCGTTCTGAGTACACGGCTTGCATTTGTAGCTAGAACATTATTACTTAAAGCACTCATTGCTTAAAGCAATAACATGTACTGTTCATCTTCTTTGGAGTGCTGGATTTAATAAGAAAGAAGCCTTGAAAAAGCTATCTATAATTTCTATCATTCTTCTGGATGTTATTTCCATTGATCTTATGGTTTCATTCTAGTTTACATACAGCTATAATGGAGGAAGGGGGTAGTTTCATAAATGCTTCAGCACAATTTTTAAAATATCTTTCCTTCATGTAGTTTAACCATGATATAATTTGTATCCCCAACTCAGTGATATTGACTGTGACTAGATCTAAATTTCAAGAAAAACAGTGCTTCTGTTGCAGGCTGCCTAAGAGTCTACTTGAATATCGGTAGGTCTTTAGACCCAAGTGAATTTTCAAAAGCAGCATACTTAATAGCAGCTCTGAGACTTTGGTTGTGGTTGTTTTAGTGCTTCATAAGAAATTCTCATCACAGTGGTACACAGTGTACTGCAGTAGATGGTAAGGGCCAACTGCTACAAATGCACTTCACTGCAGTAAAGATATTCTGTTGAAGGTGATGGTTCTGTTCCTTCTGGTCTATTCCATAAAGCCAGTGTCTGCTTACTAAATAGATCTGGCAAATAGCTTGCCCATGAGATTGGCTAAATACTTTGAAGAGATTCTTGCTAGAGTCAGTGAGGGAATGTACAGTGTTACTTGCTTGGTGGTGTTTATTCTCAAGGCAGCACTTTCCATGGTAATCATAATCTGAGAATTAATTTATTTCCATTTTGAAGGAAATACTGGAGCAGTTCAGATTCCATTATGGCAGTATACCAAGTCTGTAACAGCAACTGCTATGCTTGGCCATACAGTAGCCTAATAAATGCCTTCTCTGGATCACCTGTATTCTTTAATTCATTACTTTTATTTTAATTCAGAACAAGCCTCAGCTGGTGCACTCTGGCAGGTACTCCTGAGGCTGGAGCCTTCCTGCAGCCCCAGAAGAATGCCTTCCAAACCCCATCTCACATGAGGCAGTTTAAAACTGAGGGGCTGCCTATTGACACCTTGCCCCCTTCCCAGGGAGGAGAGAGGGCAGGCTGAGTAATGGGCTCCCTTAAGGGCAGGGGTGGCCCAGGGAGTAGCCCTCCAGTGCCTCCTGGCAGAAGAGCTTGCCTGTGTAGCTCTCCAGGCAGGGAGCTGGCATACATATATACCATATTTACTTGAACGTAAAATGACCCTCCCCA